ATTTATATGCATATATGCACAAGCCAAGGACACGGACAATGGTGGGGAGAGGGACTGGGGAGGGGGAAGGAACAGGGTGGAATGGGTCACTGGGGAGAAAAAGGGACGTCTGTAATATTTTAAACAATAATCAAATTAAAAAAAAAAAAAAGAATGAGCCAAATGATGTTTCATTAAAATAACTTGGTCTTGATTATATTTTTAAAGCAACTGGCCCAATCACTTCAATAAGTTATTGGTATAAAAAGGGAGGAATTCAGCAGTACTAGATTGAAAGAAACTTAAGAGCCATAACACCAGAGGCAAAATGTGGTAGTAAATTGGATGCTGAATTATACAAGTTTGCTGTAATGAATGTCTTTGTTACAATTAAGGAAATAGGAATATGGTCTAGTTAATAAACGAGTACATGTACATCCAGATACCTTAAAAGTACCTCCACTTACCTGGGGTGCTGACACCACAGTTACTAACTGATATACAGAATGGTATGGTCAGGGACATATGGGACCGTAAGTACGGTGTGGCAGGGCGTGACACAGTGTCAGTATGACATAGCAGCACAGAGTAAAGTAGATGATTAACTCTTTACCTAACAGAGAAATGTATTTATATGTTGATATACATAATGTGTCTATTAATATATATTTTCACACATAAAATATAATCCTAAAGTTATAAAATTAGTTTCAAGGGCCCAGTTTAATACACCTAAATATCATTGTAAAAAAAAATAATTTAATTCATCATTTAAAAAGGCCATTTAATAGGTCTAAATGATTCCTGACTATCAATGTTGCTTCACAGTCAAGCTAAGAACAGTAAAAGAAAAATTGTATTTGAAACTTGTTTTTGACCTAAAAGAGTATGATTTTTATTAACTAACAGATCCGATTCTACATATCTTTTGATTATCTTTAAAATTCAAATCCACCTCCAAAAAGATAGGGCTGACACCTTTAAGGATCATCAAAAGGGTTTCGTTTTCTTCTGATTTTTGCACTCTACAAAGAGAAAATTTTAAAAAACAACTCAGTAATATTTTTGAGGAAAGTTATCTGTTAAATTATATCTCAAAAGTTGACTGACAACTATGAATGGAACACTATGATTCAGTTCAAAACATATTTATTGAATAGCTGTTTTTGGCAAAGGTACCAGGAGATTAAAAATAAAGCTCTGTCCTAGAAAATATTTATACTCTATTACTGATATACTCTTATACTGAGAAATATAAAATACCTGTATGATGGCAGATAATGGTAGGTTTAGAGGGATTTCATTTTACAAGGGAAAAAAACGGGCTTCAAAAAAATTGGCAACTTTAGGGAACCAAAAACAGTAATATCCCCGATACAGTACAGATAATTAGAGGGTCATGTCAAATGTATCTCCTATGCTTCCATCCCTTCCCCCACTGCTGGGCCCCCACCACGTCTCCCCGACTAGCATCGCTCCGACCCAGTATCCCTGTAATCAGGCTCTCCCCCTGCCACTTGTCCTCCACACCACAGTGCTCTTGTTATAAACTGCAGATCTGGTCCTGACACTGCAAGTTTTAAATACCTTTAGGAAATCTGAATGGACTTCCATTAATAAAGCACAAGTCTCTGGGTGCTGCAGTCAAGGCCCTGCGCTTCGGGCCTCTGCCTGTCCTCCCCGTTCACCCCCAGGCCCTGCTCTCCCCCCTCCACGCTTCACTCCCCACAGGCCACGTGCACCTTCTCCTGCTGGAAATGTCCTTCCCGACCTTTCTACCAGGCCGGCCCTGCTCACCCTTCAACCTCAGTGTCACAGTGTCTGACCTGCCCCTTTGAATAAATTCTTCATGCCTCCATCAGTGTTATCATCGCCTTTATACAAACATCTGTAACAGCTCCTCTCATACTGTCTGAAAATTAATTATTTACATATCCATCTACCTCCGAGTTCCTAAAATAGTACGATCATGCTTGCTTTTTCTTTTCACTGATCTTTCATATCTTTGTAGCCATCGCTATGTTTAGAACATGAGGCATTTAATAAGTATGTGTTGAAATGAATGGAGGAGCGGATGTTTGGAATGGACTCTGAAGGACAAACAGGTCACAACAGATGTAAGTAGGAGGTAGAGGCGGGGAGATGGAAGCTATTCGGGTTAATGAGTAAAAGCCGCAGGGTTATATTTGAGAAAGATTAATTCAACAACAGAGTAAAAGGTCTAAAAACAGCCAAGAGAAGGAGTGTGAAAATTAGTTAGCTATTTTTATAGTTCAGACAAAAACAAAACAAAAATAACTTGGACTCAGTGATGCCAACAGAAATAGGAAGGAATTAATAGAGACGGATACTCTCCTTGGAAATGAAGCTCCACGATTTACAATGTAATTATTTCTTGTGTAAATAAATTATTGAACTTTCTTATTAAATTTCCTTATAAATTAATCTGTTCCACATCGCTTTCCTTTATTTGTGGATTAGTGGAAAGATTTGCATTTGTTCAGCAGAAAATGGTCCTTTAATTTTTGCCTAGAAAAGTTAATACTTGTGAAAGGTCAAAAATCCATTTAAATTGCTCTCTCTTCCCACAATCGATTATGTAACTCACCTGGAACCATAAAATGTAAAATAGCTCGAAGTGCCTCCAGTTGCACTGATGATGACGTCTCATGACTTCTCATAACTGTTATTATTTTGGGGGCCACTGCTGCCATTATATCCAGGGAAGTGTTACTAGAGATACAATATTGAAACGCCGATTAAAAATGCAAACTGGTATCATTGTACAAGCACCAATTTGAAACAAAGGCATGCAAACAGAACCAATATATTTCACCAGAACAGGCTATAGGAAAATGCATTTGAACTCAATAATATAACTTTAATTATTCTTTAATTAAACTTTAACCTAAGGAAGATGAATTCACAGTAACCTGGGAATTCTTTTATTTTGTTGCAAACACTAACAACTTCCATATGGTCTCCACATGGGTTGCCGGCAACAACGATGTAAAGTAGATGTTCTTATGCCCATTTCCCAGATGAAGAACTTAGGCTGACAGAGGTTAAATATCAAGATCCTATCCCTAGAAGGTGACAGAGACAGGGCTGGAAGGTAAACTCCCCTGGCCCCAAGGCAAGGGCTCTTTACATCTCACCACCCGCCTCTTCCAGAACAGCAGCACCGGACTTCCTACACAGTCCTCTCATTAGTTTTATTCTCATTAAAGTCTTGATTCCTTAAGATGTTTTAGCTATTCTTTCTTAATTTCATTTTTCTCATTTTCAATTACAGTTTATATTCAGTATTATTTTGTATTAGTAATCAAGTACTTTACAAAGTGGTTCCCCCGATATTTCAAATACCCACCTGGCCCCATACATAGCTATCACAATATTATTGACTATATTCCCTAGGCTGTACTTTACGTCCCATGACTACTCTGTAACAACTCAATCCTTTCACCTTTTCACCCAGTCCCCCCAACTCCCCTCCCCTCTGCTAATCATCAGGCTGTTCTCTGTATCTATGAGTCTGCTTCTGTTTTGTTTGTTGTTAATCTTGTTCTTTATATTCCACATATAAGTGAAATTACATGGTACTTGTCTTTCTCGGGCTGTCTTATTTCACTTAGCATAATACTCTCTAGGTCCATCCGTGCTGCTACAGATGATTTCATTTTTATGGCCGAGGAATATTCAGTAGGAACCACACCCTGGCTTTGCACGGTTCCATGGTCATTGAGATACAGTCTTTCTTTTTCACCTCAAAGTTCCAGTTTTGAACACATCCCCTCTTTGTACCTTCTCCCCTTTGGTAAACCCAGCTGGGTCCCTACCGCTATGCCTCTTGCACATCACTGCCTTGCATCATCACTGTAGTGTGATCATCTGTTGACGCATCAGTCTCCCCAACTAGGCAATGGGTTTTCAGTGGCAGGCATGTTGTCATAATTAACTGAATCCCAGGACTGACACTGTATACAGGTTACATGTGAGAAAATAGCCAGAAACATGAATTTCCCAGAATCTACAGGATCTTAAACTGTTGCTTACTCCACTGTGTTTTTGCCTCATTTATAAAGATTTACACACTTCCAGGACCATAAAAATCACCATTTAAGATAAGCTTCATTCAGATGTTCCAGAGCAACATTTAAATAAGAGAAACACAACTCAAAGATATGACATACAGAGACATAAATAGATTAGCTGGACTGATGATGGAAACAAAGAAACCCCATTCCTTATAAGTCTATAGATGTGCTACACACAATTCCTCACACTATACGCATTTCCTTTATTCATATTTAATAGCAGTATTAATAATAATAGCTATGATTTATTGAGTGTTCATTCCACCAGGGATTATCCTGATCCCATTTTAAAATTTAATTCATTTAATTCTTACATTATAAACTTACAATTTATGCAGCTATTATCATCCCTCTTTACCAATGAGGCACCTGAGGTTCGGAGATTGAAACAGTTGGCTCAAATTAGTGGGAAAGCCAGGACACAAAATAGGTTTTTATTGCAAACATCTGTGCCGTTTAGCTTTTCTTTTCTGCATGGCAGCTTTCTATATAGCCTATTTATTTTTTGAAATTTACTCAGACTATGACAACATGCCCTCACATTCTTTGGCATTAAAAAGGCACTCAGCACATCTTGGAGCCCTATCCCCCACCCCCGGGTCTGGTCTCTGCCGTGCCCCTACCCAGCCATGCCATCTTAACATCTCCAAACTTTCTAGCTGTGCATATAAAGTTTTCCCAGCTAAGGAATATACAGGAAGAGAAGACAGTTCATTCAACTGAAGGGAAAACCATAAATTTTAGTTGTGAAAAAGCAACAGTTAGAAGCCATGTCCTGATCTGAACTTTTATGCCTTTCACACACAATCACTTGAAAAACTATTTAAGGTTCTGCGCCATATAATCACCACTTTTAAAAACGCAGTCAACACCAAACATGAAGTGCAAATGCAGACTTCAAGTATTTCTACAACCTCACTCGTCCCTTTCAATGTTCAGATAAAATAAGTCTGGGGTATCAAGAAATGAGGTTAAATCACACGTTTCCATTTTCAAAGGCCTTGTTTTCCTTTTCACTCTTAGAAATATGGCTGAAATATTAATATTCTACCTGGTGCAATGTTCTATATTCTGCATAAGGTTATGGGTCTCTATTACCTTCCTTCGAAAAGATGATTCAGCATTTTGCAGCCACTTTCAGCCACCTCAGGAGAGTGTAGGTGCTTCTGCATTAACTCCAGCACGTTCAGGTAGAGGCCTTTTGACAACAGGATTTTTCTGAAATTAACTACAAGATTTTTTTAATGTTACCTATAGAAATGAATGCACATTGCAATAAGACACAGAATGCTAAGACAGTCCAAATTCCTAGGAGAGTATATACAAGTACGTATGTAAATTATATTTCACTGACAACTTAAAGACCATTAATGTTTATTTATAATATATACCATTTCAATTGTTTTTCATTTATGAGTCATTTGTTGAGGTTTTCATTTTAAAAGTTTTATTCACAGAGTAGACTGGTAGTAATGCAATCACTAAATCCTAGTCCATGTGAAAATACTGCTTTTGCGGAATAATGTTTTAAAATAATGCCCTCTAAAATAAGAATGAAAGTTACATTTCATTCTAATATTTAAAACAATTTCATGAAATAACTGTGCTTATATAGAGCTAAGAATCACTAGGTACACTACACAATAGATATCTGGGAATGGGTTACAGGCGTGTGGAGATATGGACCATCCTCTCAGCCGCTGGGGGACTATGAGGTGGGGCCAGGGACTGGGGCCAGGCTGGGTTGCCTTCAGCCTTCAGCTGCCTTCTCCATTTACCCTAGTGGACTGTACAAACATTTTCATTTCTATGTATGCCTTCACGTGCAAAGGAATGGAAAACCCTGATATAGACTATAAATAATTACGTATTTTCACAAAGTAATACCAAGGCTTAAGAAACATATAGATATGCTTTACAATGAATTTTACATTCTATGTAGAAAAATAACCATATCCCAACAATAACTACAGAAAATTTTCCTCTAATAATAAACTTTCTTTGCTAAATACAAGTCCAATGTCTTAAAGTCCCTGTATAAATATCAATTGTTTTGAAACCTCTCTATATAGATATCAATTCCAACATTATTCAGTATAATTCAATGCTTTAAAAGCAGTAGAAAATAAAACTTACAAAGTTTTAACTTAAGTACTACTCTGAAAAATGAGTTATTAATCTCAAATTGGGAAAGGAAAAAAAGAAGAAAAACTCAGAAATAAGTGGAAGTGATATACACAATCTAAATTACTGACAAAATTTGGGGGGGAAATAATACCTTTTAAAGACACCTAGAATATCACACATTAAAATGTGATAGGAAATTGGTTATTTTACTTGATTACATCAGAAGTTTGAATAACCCCTCCTAATGTAGTTAAATTCTAACCATAGAGATACTTTAAAATACAGATGTTATTCTAGACAAGCAGTTCTCACATGTTAAGTGTGCCTCAGGATTACCTGTGAGGTTGTTAAAACACAGATTGACTGGATCTCAACTCCAGGATTTATGATTTCAGTAGGTTTATATGGGGCTCTAGAGTTTACGTTTTTAACAAGTTCAGGAAATGTTCCTGGTCCAGAAACCACACTTTAAGAACCACTGTCCTGGACATTAACCCAATTTGAGACTTAGACATTTAATGAAACACTAGGCCTGGGAGAAGAACTTACATCATTAGAGTCCCTTCATAATTTACAGAACATTCTACACATTTTATCTCATTTACCAACTATCTACATAATACTTTTGACCTCATCGATTCCATTTTAGTGATAAATTATCTGCTTTAAAAGGCCAGGAACAATGTGCAACTAACTTCCTTGAGGTCTTTACTTCAATAGTCACCTCCTTTCATGGCTGCCTAGTCACAATTTTATCTCCTCTGACCCCTAACACATATCCTCCAAAAAAAATTGCTTCATTTTTTTCTTAACTATGTGACATATCAGGTATTTTTATTTAGTCTTATTATCTATCTTCCCCACTAGAATTTAAGCTCCATGAGCTTGGGATTTCTATCAAATTGATTTATCTCAAGTGCCTAAGATATTGTGCAGAATATAGCAGGAGCTCAATAAATACTAACTGAATTAATTGATTAATTAAATGAAAAAAAAAGTCACACATGATGCTTGATCCCTTGCCTTGGAACCACCATGGCAGAACCCAATTCTTCTGTCCTTTTTCTAGAAAACCATAGCCAGCCCTGCACACCCAATGTTCTCAAGTGTCTTTCAAGGAGAATTTGCCGAGGAAGGTTGGTAAATGAGCCACTCGATGTCTTAATACTTTCCTAAGGCAGAACTCCAAGGACAAAACAAAGATCTGAGAACAGTTTACCTGGCAGGTGGCCAAGAGCAAAGAAATAAGGAACCAGGAAGAGCAGAGAACTGGCTCCGAACAAAGATATCAAGGTTGACTTCAAATGTAACTGATCTTCGGATACCATAATAAGCAGCAGCCCAAATCTCACAAAATCGTGGCTGTTTTGTTGGCATATCAAAGACGATTTCCAGGTGGTTAAGAATTACAGCACCCACGCAATGTTTGTACATGGTAAAGATTGTTCTCCTCTCTTAGGTGCCCCACAGAATGATAGTCAAGTGGGGTCCTCATTTTCAGGAGTGAGATCCCTACCCAGCTTCTGTACAGTAGAAGATGGGTTTCGAGAAGAGCAATGTCCTTTCTTTCCACTCCTGCTCTAATTCATTATCCCCAAGGGCATCCCCTGTCTGTCTCTAAGGGCTCCTGCCAGCCCAAGCCTTTTACTAAAGTGCCATCTGAGAGGTGGAGCGAGAAAGGAAGACATGGAAGAGGGAATGCTTTTCCTCCTGATTTGACTTACATAACAGCATGAGAAAATATGCATGAGGTGCTTTGATTCCTTTCCCTCTCCCCAGGTTCTATACTACACTGGTCCCTGTATCAGATTTTCAATATTTTTTCTCTTTTTCTTTCTCCAAAAATATCTTGCAAGAGCTCTCAAGTCCCAATGCCTTTATAATGAGTTTTCTCCCAAGATTTTCTGACAGCATTTCCTGTTGTGAAGGCTGAAACCTCAACAGCCTGAGTCACATTTTTAAACCTGAAGAGTCTTTCCAAAGCTAGAACAGCCATTTAAATCTCCCTAATAATACAAAGCTATATGACTTAACATGAGAAGAACTATTTTTTAAAAAATATTTATAACGGACAATTTTAAAATGATGAATTTTTAAAATGACAAATATCTCTTTACCCATTGCATTTCTAAAAAGATCTCATAAGAAAATAACAGGAACAGTGTGTAAAGCAAAATAAAAAGACTGACCATTTGGCGTATATTCTAGGTACCAAAAAAAAATCCCACTGGACACAAGCTAAAAGTCCATCAACAAAGAAATTGGTTCATAAAATAGAATATAGGCATACATTGGAAAACTACACAGCCATTAAAAATGATAATGTAAGAATTTATATTTATCAACACAAAAAATGTAAATTTTGTTTATGGTCCCATTTCTGCAAAAAAAAAAATAGGGAATATATTATATACATCATGTGAAAGTACATATACAGAAGTCCAGAAGAAACACATCAAAATGCTTATTTTCTTCATATTTTTACCTATATATCTGTTATATATACATATATTCATATTTATATATATATATACATATATATCTCAGATATATATACATAATACATATTTTACAATGTATTGTTTTCTACTTTTTAAAACATAAAATGTGGCCTGGCCAGCATGGCTCAGCAGTTGAGCATCGATCTAGGATCCTGGAGATCGAAGTTCGATTCCCAGTCAAGGCACATGCTGGGGTTGCCGGCCCGATCCCTAGGAGGGGGCGTGCAGGGGGCGGCCAGCCAATGACTCTCTCATCAGTGATGTTTCCTATCTCTCTCTCGCCGCCTCTCCCTTCTTCTCTGAAATCAATAACGACATATTTTTAAAAAGACACACAAAATGTGTTTACATTTATTAAAAAACATGGAGCACCCCTTACCGTTTTGTTCTAAGAGAGTCGACAGAGCATTTGCAGATGCCCGAAAGACTTCCTTTGATGAAGAATGCATCAGCATGGACAGCATGACCTCCCTGTGGGCTGGGAACCTGGCACAAATTCAACCACAGTGTTAATAAACAGTCTTTTCAATAATTATCTCAAATATCCACGTATCATTGTCTAATCTCTCTAACAAAAAAATAGGGACATATAAACATTTTATATCACCTCCACTTATAAGAGTGAATTATGGTTAAACAGTTTTATATTTTAAAATTAGATTTAAATCTATTAAATGCTAATAAATTAGTATTTCTGTTTCTTCTAAGTTGATAAGCAGTAGAGGGGGGGAAAGTTAGCAAATCTATGAAGAGGTGGTTAGAGTTCAAAAAGATAAAAATGAGAAAAAAATATAATGGAAGCAAGAAAGAAAAAAGAAAAAATTGTAAAGAAGCAGTGTGAGTTTTTTAAAGGCAGAGCATAGATATATTTTCTTTTAATAATGTACTTATTTTAAAGATTCCTATGGCTATTGAGGAATGAGTGTGCTATGAAGTGAAATTTATAACTGCAGCATGAGCCCACCTTACCCTGACCCCTTGAAAAGATTGTTCAAAGTGAACCAGGATTACTGTTTCCTTTCAAAATGGAGATGTTTAATTAAATAGCATATGTTATTAATTCTCTTCTGATTGGCAGTGGATCACTATGCAAAAAGGCTGCCAAGATTTGAATATTAGAATTTAGAATATTAGAATATTTGAATAGTAGACTATTACTATTTAAGTGTCCAAGATAAGTCATTCAAGTTTTAAAATCTGGAGCATACTGAAAGCAAACACCATAAACATAATCAGTTGCCAGAAGACATGGCTGTGGCCCTGATACAAATCTGATATACACAGATCTCCTGTTTGCAGTTTGTATCTTTGGAAAGAGGGCTGGTCTTATGATGCCTGAACAGTATTCCCAGAGAAAGCCTCCTCAAGAACTGTCAGCTACAAATAACGCTCTCAAGAGAAGACAGGTCAACACTGCAACAGCAAGTAGAAAATCACTGTAGGAGGCTTCTAACCACATTTAATTCCTGACATTGACAACCTGCTGGTTAGTCACTGCAGTTCACAGGTAGCTCTGTGATTTCTATCACCTGAGATTATTTCTTATGGCATTTTTAAATGAACAGCCATAAAACTGGAAGGTTCTTCCTTGATGATTCATAGCTTACTGAATGACTCTTCATTCCCAGCGTCTCAGCAGTAACTCTCAAACACACAAACTTTTACTAACTGCTGAAGGCAATGGGATTAAAATAGTATATATCCACTGCCATTCTGTGGCAGGACTTAAAACATAAATGCCTTTATCAAAAATATTTCTAACAACAAAGCTTGCACTTTTTATATGGATTGACATTTTATACGGATTGATTAAAAATATAACTAAAATTTTCTATCATATAAAATCAAATCAACTAACTGGCCATCTTCATCTCCAATCTTCTCATGCAAACTGTTCTGGTACATAAGGAGATTGTTTAGGGCCCAGCATGCAGCCTCCTGGATTAGGTGAAGAGAAAAAAAAAAACAACAACTTGTCAAAACATTGATCACTGAACGAGCAATTCTGAATACGCAGAATATTTATGCAGGAGCCCCACCTGCACATGCTTGTTCTTTCTGTGCCACGTCAAGCCTTTGTAACAGGCTTCCAGCCAAAACAACTTCTCTTCTTCCTCCTCATTCTGATTCCCGGACTTTTCCTCTAAGTCTTGATTTAAGAAAATGGTCTCAGCTTGAAAAAACATAAATACATGTCTTATGGTTTGAATGACCAACCCTAAATCCATATTTTGAAACGAAATTAACAGAGTGATGTATTCTTTAGTATGGGCCCTGGTTAATTGCAAAGACCTCTGAATATGTTACACACCTCCTAAGAACGCTGCCCCATCAGCTAAACGGTCCAGCGCCCAAGAGGGTATCGCACTGGACTAAGGGACCAGGGGAAGCTGAGCGAGGGGGCCTGCCCCATAACAAAGTCACAACCAGAGGGGGCCTGCCCCATAACAAAGTCACAACCAGAGGGGGCCTGCCCCGTAACAAAGTCACACCCAGAGGGGGCCTGCCCCGTAACAAAGTCACACCCAGAGGGGGCCTGCCCCGTAACAGAGACAAACCCAAGATGTATTTACTGATACATAAAGCTGGGAAATGTTGGTTCCCTTGAAAGTATCCTCTGTTGGAAAATGAATTACAGTAGGACAGAAAGGCATTTACGGATCCTCCTCTACATGTGACAGTGTTGCCTTGCCTAGTGTCGGCCGTCGGGGCAGGGCCCGGCCCGAACTCCCCCCGGGGAGGTTACTTACTGAGCAGCGCCAGGCAGCTGAGCGCGGCGATCTGCAGGGCCGCGTTCTCTGGATACCGCCGCACGGCGCTCACCACAAACTCGTGCACCTCGTTCAGCACCAGGATATTAAAGAAGTTACCTGCGAGTTAAGTGGGATGTTGGCCGAAGTTACCTGCGAGTTAAGTGGGATGTTGGCCGAGGTCTCACCCACAGAACTGAAGCTACCCTTAATTACAGAACAGTATTTAAATCAATACATGTAAGCAGTGAATATTTTAATGACATTCAAACATATATTTGCTTTAATTAAAATAGCTTCATCTGATGGCATTAAGTTCTAAACATTTCTTTCATGCTTCGACAATGGAACTGACTGGGCAAAAATGATGGTAGGTCTGGTTATATGAACTTGGCGTTCTTTGACTCCCTCTCATGCCATCATTACATAACAACAACAAGGTGTCGCTGTGCACGGCCCTCCAATGTTCACTCTACATAACAGCTTAATTTTCCTGCCTTCTGAAAGACGGGGGGTAAAGCCCTCCCTGTCAGTAAGTGCTTTTGCTGAAACATCCTTCCTTCGCTTAAAGGAAGGGCTAAGAAAAACCATTGACACACTTATCATTACTTCATATTGTCTGTGAAAAGACAACAAGGAGAAAACCGAGAAAATATTTCAACAACTTTAACACAACCCAATTCATTCTTCTAAGAATCAATACATCATCCAAAAAATCTAAATCCTTAAGAGGAAAAAAATGTGTAAGTGATACTCAAGAAAGATTTGCCTCCTCCCATTTAGCTTGTTCATAACTCACTGGCCATTGCCAGTTTCCTTTTACAAGGCAGAATGGCACTCCTATTCAGCCGTAAGTGTAATTAAGTGATCCCTGAGACACAAAGCCAGAATTGGAAAAGACCCTATATCACAAAACACCTAGAGCCCACACTGAATATCAATCAATGGTTTCAGAATCAAAAGGCAGTTTTCCTAGGCACAGCTCTTCATCACCGATACCTGCATACGTTGTTGCCCCGTCCACATTCACCACTAAGCAGACATGCTCCCCGATCCTTAGTGATCCTGCCCTCGGAGGCATGTCAACAAGATTCTCTTCTCCTTTTGTCAATCTGTGTAAACTTGGTCTGTCCCCTTCACTTCCTTCTTCCTTCTATTATTCACATCCCGCTGCCAAGAGACACTCTACCGTTGCCAACTGTGTGACTGGGCAACTACCAGTAAGACTGGCCCCGTCTTATTTTCAGACAACTTATGTGAAAATACATAGTAAATTGTATAAGGCTCTTAAAGGCATTAAACCCTTAATTAGATTACATAATATGACAAAATGCTAAGTGTTTGTTTATTGAGTTTGAGTTTTTTATTTTAATTATAAAGAGAAAGTTAAAAGTTTTATCCAGCTTCTCTTAAAACAATAACAGACACAATAAATCCTCTGGTTATTAAATGGAACAAATAATAATCTGTTAAGAGATAAATGACAGAGAAAAAGGCATCCTTACCTGAAGATAAACTTGATGGTTTTTTTATTTTCAAAAAGTTACAGGACAACACAAAACTCAGAGTGATACACTGGTTTGTCTGGCTTATTGGATTTTAACAGCGTAATGACAAGCACCCATCATGTGTCATTATAGACCTGTTTGGTACTCAAGTGCCATTTCCCTACTCACAACCATAAAACCACTTGCTGAGATTCACTTTCAGGGATTCAGATAAACTCACGTTTTTAATATAAGTTGTGTAAACTGTAACCTGACTGTGGTAAGTTGCAGAACATAAAATAGAGGATTGTATGTTAGTATACTACTCAATGAGCTATTTCAAGAAATCAACACTGGAATTACATTAAGACATTCTCAAATATCACTTAGCTAGCACAACTGTTCTTCTTCATGGAAACATAATAAATAAAATCTCACCTGATAAAAGTAATAAACTAGGAAATGGCTACTACATTTTAGAAGAAATGCTTTTGTTTAGGGATGCAGAAATCCAAGCTCTCGGCCTGATTTCGCCCCTTACTGACTACAAGATTTTGATAACACATGTAGACTTGCAAAAGTGGTTCTTCTGTAAGTATGGCAATATGGTAATATGTCTTAATATTTGAACATTCCTTTCATAGTTTCCAAAGTTGTTTCTTATATATAGTGGGGGGTTTTGATCCTTGAAACAATCCTGGAAGATTGGGGGGAGTGGTGCAAGGAGGTTCAAGAGGGAGTTGAAACAAGAACTCTGAGCTGAATGCAAATGGACCAACCAGAGTAGCCTTCTCGGAAAGTATGGATCACTGCGATCAACAGACTAGCCTTGGACTCCCTCCAAGGTGGGGTAACTCAGCCAGAGTCTCCCATATTCAGCTTGGACCTTAAAAAGATTCTGAAGTGCTCCTAGGTCTGTCCTGTGCCCTGGTTCCTGGGCAAACATCTCTGCAGGAGCATCTGAATTTAGGTCCTCAGGATTTGCAGAGATGAAGCTCAATCAAAGAGATACTCCCCAGCATACAGGAAAAGAAGACTGTGACAGACTGGCAGTCAGCACAGAAGCAGCAAGCTTAAACTCCCAAGCACGTCCTATATTGGAATTATCAGATACAAAACACAAGATAGCTATGGATTAATGATTAAAGAAATAAAAATCAGAATAAAAGAATAGAAAGAAAGAGCAAACAAGAGGCATCCAAATGTTACCTGGCAGATATGAAAATAAAGAGATTTTAGAAATGTATTTAAAAAAATCTAATAAATGACCAACCTGAATTTATCACAGGAGCACAAAGTGGCTTAATATTTGAAAACCCCTAGGCGTAATTCTCCATATCATCAAGATAAAAGGTAAACAACTGATCATAATATATTTTTTAATATTTGCTAAAATTCAATACCTGTGATTTTTTTTTTAAAAAGCTCACATGTAAAAATAACAACAAAGAAGAAACAGAAACTTCTTAACTTGATAAAAGGTACTTGTCACAACAAAAACAAGACAAGATTAATTTAAAAAAAACTTATTACAAGCATTATTCTGGATGGGAGAATGTTAAAGCATTTCCTTTCAAGTCAAGATCAAGGTAAGGATGCCTACTATCACTGCTTCTATTCAAAAGCGTACCAATTATTCTGGGCGATGCAAGAAGACAAGGAAATGAAATAATAGATGTAAGGAGAGGAAAGGAAAAATCCATACTTTCGTTATTAACAAATTAAATAACTGCAACATAGAAAACCTAAGAGCATTTACAAATACATTGTTAGAATTAATAAGAGTTTAGAAAGGCAGGTAAGATAGCTCCTATACAAAAAATCATTTGTACTTCTTTATGCATACACAGTTTAAAAGTACAATGTCAAAAGACATACCATTTATAACAAAAAATAAATATCTAGAAATAACTAACAAGATGTGCAAAAAAATTATAAGGTAAAGTCAGTTCTTCTTAAATAGATCTATATATTCTGTGCAATTCCAATCAAAATCCCAATGGAGTTTTCAAAGGAACTTGACAACTTATTTATAAAATGTATATGGAATAGTTAAGGCCCAAGGAGAAAAGCTAAACTATATCCTAAAAAGTAGAATGCATGGTGACTTGACCTATTAGCTTTTTAGATACCATGATTTACAGAGCTACAATAATTTAAACAGCATGATATGGATCCAAACAAATCAAATGAACCAACATAACAGAACAGCAAAAACAAACATAAAATTTTATGTAAACCATCAAATAATATATTTTATACATATAAATAATGCATATATTATACATATATATATTCAGTATATCACAACACTCAGAAATGAATCAACCATATAATAAATTGTGCTCTCCATATTACTTTTTAAAAAGGGAACTGAATTCCTACTTTATAACAATTCCAGACAGATTATAACTTCAATGGTTAAATTAGAAAGATATGGTACAAAATATAGACTATATTATTTTAGGGGAAGGAAAGGATCTCTTCGTATACATTTTAAAAAGGTAAATCACAAAGCAACTAATTATTAAATTAAACTATATTACAGAAGCCACCATAAAGATAATAAAGATAATGAAAAGACAGGTCCCCAATCAAGAGAAGATATTTTCAATATATATAACCAATCACCAAAACATTTCATACAACCGTATGAAAAGATATTTGAGTCTTATAAGCAAAATTTTTTAATTGCAGAAGATGATATTCAGCATGATTTCATTTTATTAAACAAAAACAAGTGAACATTAACACTTTTATTTAGGGAGATGCACAAATGTAGTATAACTATATTAGAAAGCAAAACAAAAAATTACCAACACAAAATTCTGGATGGTGTTAACCTCTGTAGAGAAAGCAGGGGGAGCTACCAGAGGAGCTTTACCAGCCCTGGCAAGGTACTAATACTTCAGTTGGGTAGAGAGTCCTTTTGCACTGTGCTTCACATTTGCAAATATTATGCTTATTCTTCTGTATGTGCCAACAAAATGATACTTTAAANTACTAATACTTCAGTTGGGTAGAGAGTCCTTTTGCACTGTGCTTCACATTTGCAAATATTATGCTAATTCTTCTGTATGTGCCAACAAAATGATACTTTAAATACAGCACTAACAATAAGATAATACTTCTCTTACATTACACACATCTATTTTTGCCACTCCTTTTAAAATTCCATCTAAGCATGATAGAACAGTTTACAGCTTCCATCCAATGTATGTCCGCATGTTACTTCTCCAACATAAAACATACATAGGCTATATATACTCACATCATATAGACCGTGATCATAAATGAACCAAGAATTACAACTCACCTAAGGTGAGCCTATGGAGCAAGCAGCAGCTCACTTCCTGAATCTTCTCATTAACAGGGAATGCTCTCATGGCTTCCACCACAATGTTGTAACACCTGACGTTGCCGCTCATGAGGACTTCGACATTACTGCCTAAATTTAAAGAAATCATAATCATCAATAAGGTAATGATTCCCCCTTTTAAAAAGGCGCACAACTACTTATATCAAGTGTAAATCTATGGCAGCACAATGGATACATTTCCAAATTCAAATACCAGGTTCTGTCAAAAATAGCTGTGAAAATACTATGTTGTTCATTGTGAATATAATAGAATTTAGGACTCATCTCTAGCATTAAAGGAAAGTTGCTTTATTCCTGTTTCTTGGCTGAAAAACTTAAACAAAATAAAGGGAAAATTGAGAGTGTTTTTATATAAGAATAAAAATATAATGTCTTGGCCATAAATATTAGGGCCTATTTTCTAATGAGCCACTAGATCATTGGATGATGGCCTTTAATTGTTCCTTTTCCTCAAACCAACAAAAGAAAAATGAAGATTATGTTCCGTAATTAAACAGGTAAAATCAGCTATGATGGATTTTCTGTCCATTCCAGAAGGGCAGCAGCAGAACAGCCAGCATGCAGGGCAACAAAGCTTCCTGAAGGCTGTGAGATAGATGAGGAAAAGTATGGGGCTTGGGAGGAGAATCAGCATATGAAAACATGTGACTAAGGGACAAACATTGGGAACCAAAAAGGAAGGAAAAAATCCACTGGGAAAAGCAATTAATTAACAGAGAGAGAGAGTGTGTGAACAGCCTCTGTGTGGACAAAACTATATGTCTGAATGAAATGTTGACTATTATTAAAAACAAACAAAGATATCGCAAAACACATTTCTTTCTTTATCAGCATAGCCAGACTAACCAACTGCTTTTTCTAAATATATATTTTTAATGTTTAAGTTGTACTAAAAAAATTAAAATGTTATCATAGAAAATGGCCTCTTAAAATCATTTTCTACCTTTACTCAGAACAGCAGACATGATTTTCTTTAAGACTCAACGGCAAATGTCTTCCAATTATTATCAGTGTTTAAAAACATTGATTTCTTTTTTTTTAAATTGCTACTTCCTTTGACCTTTACATTATGAATCAACACATTTTCACTGGAGTTATGGCAGATGTGGGTGGAAAACACTGAATTTCAAAAACAGCCAGCCCAAAATAAATAAACAAATGTATAAATATAGCCAAGGAAAAGTGAAATGAAGAAAATTTATTCACTTTGTTGACAGTGGATGACTCAGGGATATCTAAAAGCATGTCCATTCTCTATTATTGTTCAGTCCCATCCACTTCCAATGCTTAACTTCCTTTGCATAAGAAAATGATGGACTGTAGAACCATCACAAAGACAGGGCTTTCTTTCATGAGGGAACTGAGTTTTTAATGAAGTCTCACATCTTCAGGTTTCCATGTCTGAAACCGTACATGCATATTTACATAATCTACTATACATATGAAATACAAATTACATAATAACATGGTCAATGTTTTTATAACACATTACATAACAGAGACTAGTCTGCATTTTTCACATTATTTAACCCACTTAATCCTCACAATTTCACACGTGAAGATGAACATATTACTAGAAAAATGCATGTGTATATCCTGTATAAACCCACCCAGGTAATAAATGAAATACAAAATGCTCAGGCACTTACAAAACTAACAGAATCTGAAGCATTATTTTAGCCCATTGACAATCACTGGTAGCATACACAGCAAATTAATTTCTCATCTATACTTTTTGTGTCAAAAGTGGCTAGATTTCAAAACATCAAAGAATGCTAAACAAGGATCACAACAAAGTCTAAACTCCTTCCAGTGCCCTTTTGGGCCCTTTAAGATCTGGTTGTCTCCAGTTTCATCCACTGGCTGTTATCAAGCCCTTCCCCCAGCTCCATTAAATGACAAACAAGCAGACACTCGGGACTGTGCATGTGCATTCACGCATTCACACACACACACAAACATGCACATACATACATGCACACACACACTTACACCGTCTTAAACACAGTTTACTGAGCTACTTTCGTCTTCTTAAATGCACTATGCTCTCTTAGTCTGGGATCTTTACAATTATGACGCCCCCTCTCTGGGCCACTCTGCCTACACTGCCAATTCCCCTCACACCTCCCTGCACATAAAAAGCTCTTCTCAACATTCAAGTCTCTTTTGAGCCTTGCCTCACACCCTGTTTTTTCTCCTAACCCTAAGTCCTTCAGCCAACACTTGCCTTACACTACATTGCAATCACCTGTGTACTTACCTATATCTCCCACGGTGCTATGGGCTCCAAAAAGGTAAAAAGCATGGTTATATTTTCTATTACAGTTTTCTCAGCACCAAGCCCAGAGCCTGCTCCAGTACAGTATCAATAAATAACAACTAATTAAATGAATAAATAAATAAATGAATGGGTTCAGAATCCATAAGTTTCTAAATAATAAAAATATTTTAAAAGCACACTCAGGAAGGAAAGCTATTATAATTGTTCACATACAAAAAAGAAATCATGTGTATAGGCTACTTACAAGGAATTGCTAGGGAATGTAAACAGCGCAGTACGTAAAGCACAATCTCCTCCTCATCTTTAAAGTTTTTTAATGCACTTAGCAATATCATATAATCTTTATTCTCGACAAATTCAGTCAGTTGCTCCTCTGAAACTGAAAAACGAAATGCAAAATACTGAAAAAGCTTAAAAATGACATAAAATTTTAATTACTTAAATATAGAATATTCATGATAGTTGTATGAGACACAATAAATACAATAAATGTAACTTTAAAATATATATATCAGCAAAACCCTTTAAAAATTTTATAGTGGGAAAAGAGCTATTGAGATTAAAATAGTTTTGTTTTGACCTATATTAGTTTCTCCATGAATTGAAATGTGAAAGTTTTAGTCATCAACCAGTTCTCAGAAAAACAAAATTATTTACAACTTTATTTGGGGGATTTTAGAGAATACTGAGCAATGACTAATGAAGATGACCTATGGGAAATAAACACACCATAATACTGAAAAAGGAGTGGTTAATAGTACACTGCTGACAGACAGCTCAGCTAAATCTATCAGTTCAAGAGGAATGAACTTTAGCAAATGACAAGTAATTAGATTTTCAAATATTCTTTCTTAATGGTCTTGATTTCATCAGAGATCAAAAGTTATCATCATTAATTTTCATAATTAAAGTCTCTTGATCAAGCCAATGAGTTCCATTTGGAGTCACTTTATTGGGTTGGAACCTCAAACACATGTACAAAAATCTGGTACAAAAATGATGTACAAAAAAACCTGAAAAGAACACTGACCAAAAAGTTAGAAAATGTAGCATTTCATGATCAACATTACTTTTTGTTTTTCAACTTTATACCAACAGTCCATATAATATAATGTGAAAGTGGTTAAGTTCTTCTAATAAGTGAGGAGTAGCATTAAACTTCCTCATTTTATGAAGCAGCTTCCACAGCATACTTTCAAATTTTGAAAATTAACTTTCCAGGTACCCCTAAGTCCTGGAGAACTTGATACTCCTGGAAAAATTCAGCAATTTTCCTACTCTACATTTACAATCATAATACTGGCAGCATTGTTGTTCTGTTGAACAAGATCTTAACATTCCCTGGTGCTTCTCCATATGTCATGCATGGGTCCCCCAATGTTGACGTGAGTGTGATGATAGCCCCTCTTCCACAAAAAAGAATGTGCCCCCTAAACTGCAACAGAAGATTACAGGCCCTGTGAGACAACAAACTTCAAACTCCATTTTTGTCCCATTCTTAGCAAAAGCTTAGTTGCAAGATAAAACATTTATAGAAGATAGCCCAAAAGACATGCAGTTCTTCTATTTGTCACTCCCGGTAAACTCTTGTCCCCAAGCATGATTGTCAGAGAGGGGTCCATGCTGTTCTCACTCTTGACAGAGTGTCTTTCACTGCAATACATTTTATATTCCTTGCAAATTGTGTGTGCTTGATCATCTCAACCAAGGAAACCCATGGAAGGATTTTCTCAGGTTTCTCAGGAGACCCATTGCTTGGCCTCATAAATGGGTTTACTTTTATCTCAAGTATATTTGTAACCAATGATGTTTACCTCTTTTCTTTGCCTGATAGGAAGCAAAGAGCCAAATTTCTGGTCTATCCCCTTGCAAAATGCAAGGGGACAGTTGGTAAATTTAACCTAACTTCCTGTAATTTTCCCTTCACCCATTTTTTCTCTAGTCTATATAAATATCTATAAGCTATTTAAGATCCTTCTGGAATGAGACAGAATTCTACAGTATAAGGTGATCTATCCTATTCCTGGAGCTGCCAAAAACTAGAGTGGTAAACTGATATAGACACAGGGCCCACATAAATTATTCTTATCTTAACCACTCAGCACTGTCAGTTCTCATAATGATGCAAAAGCTGCTCTAGAAATATAGTGGTAAATTGAACTGCAATGGTGGCAACTTGCTGTGTGCCCTCGGGCAGGTTGCTTATGTCACCTCTGATCCATTTCCTCATCAAGTCAGTGGAAGGACAAAAGGTTCCAACTCCCTCTAAAATTACATGATAATCTCTGTTATCAATCTTAGTGCCATGTGATAAAATACAATAGACTTTTTCCTAAGGGACCCTTTGTAAACCTCCTGATTCTTGACACACAGCCTTTACCGATTTCTAAATCTCTGGTGATGACTCAACGTCATAAATCCAAATTTAACCTATGCTTGACTTCACAGTTTTATTTTTTCTTTCTTAACACCTACACATCCGGTTTGCAAAGTGAACCTTATGTCTTATTAAGCAATGGATAAAAGTGTACTACAATTACATAATTTATAACCTATGAATAAAATTCATTCCATAAAAACAAGCAGTATTTCTGAATGAACACCATTACTTATCCTTGACTGACAACTACCTCATCTTAATAAATAGTACAACTTTAAATACCTTCCCAATATCATAACTATATTCTATTTTTCCCATTATAAACCTTTTTTCCCTTATATAAATATCAAAATAAAGAATTTGACATTTTTAAATACCTCTCTCAAACAGCACATGTAAAGCTTTGCATCCAAGTTTCTGGACCTCGTCATTGGCTGAAAACGCTCTCATGGCATCGAAAATTAGTAAGAAAATATCGCTTTCTTCATCCAATATCAGCAAGGTGATTTTACCTATTTTGAAGAGAACAATATGACCCAAAAGTAAACAGCTGCTTTACTGTTTAATGTGTTCACTTTAACATGAGGACTATGAAAGGTTTCTGGACTTTTCATTTTGATCCACCACTTAACTGCCCCAGATGTTAGACCAATCAGGTTCGACCGTCTTTCTAAATAAGATCAAGTGCCAGAACGCTTTACTATGTGATTCCCAACATCTTGCCTTCAATTCTTGAAACATATTTCTAAACATATTTCTATCTGCCTCTTAGACAACACTACCTGAATATCCCAAACCTAGGCTTCTCCCGTTCCGTCTTCATCAGTGATACCATCACCCAATAATTACCCCAGAGAGAAACCACCGAGTCATCTTTCTTCCTCACATTCTCTTCACACTCTCTGCTCAACCAAAGAATCAACTCATCACCAAGTCCTTTGAATCTATCTCCTAAATATCTTGAAAACTCCTCATGAACTAGGCCCCTCCATTCCTATTGTGTTCAGGTCCTCATCATCTCTAACCTGGATGCAAACATAATTGCTTCATTGCTGGGCTTGGCCCAAATTCCTACACCATTTATTCCCCAAATGATATTTCTAATATACAACTATGATCCTGTAAACCTCTTGCTGAAACTGTCTAAGGCCTTCTCATACTCTTCAGTTGATAAATAAGACCCTTCACCACCTGGCTGCCTTATTTCATTAGCCCTGTGCCCCTCCACGCATTGCTGACTCTAACCATGATAAACTCCTCACTGATCATGACACATTTTCTTTGATATCCCTTGACACTTGCTCTGGCTGCATGGAACGCCCTTGCCCTTGCCCACAGCAAATATACTCCCACCATCATTCAAGAAATAACACAAGCTCTGCCTATTCTGACAGTAAAAATGGCAGTGCTGGAATGGAAGTGGTGGTGGTAGTCGCGAACCCTGGATAGCACATAACGTGTCAGACGCAGGTTGAAGAACTCCACTTTAACACGTGTAAACCCAGGAGGTAGGGGCAATCCCCATCTGAGAGATAAGAAAACTGAAGAAACCTATGAGATAAGTCAGCTGAGTGAGTTTGCCCAAGATCCAAGAACCAATAAGAAGCAGAGCTGGATTAAACTTGTTCATGTCCATACTTGGAACTTCTACAAATGAGTTTAGCTGCTCTGTTCTCTATGTTCCTATGTTGGTTTTCTTCACATCTCTGTTGTAGTACTTTCTTAATAAATTAAAATTATTTATTTAAATATTCTTTGTGTCCTTGCCTGTGCTGTCAGTTTGGTACCCACTAATTATATCTAGCTTTGTAAACTCTAAATTAATTAAATTAAATAAAATTAGCCCTAACTGGTTGCTCAGTGGTTAGAGCATCGGCCCACAGACTGAACCGTCAAGGATTCAATTCTGGTCAAGGGCATGTACCTTGATTGCAGGCTCGATCCCCAGTGGGCACTGGTTGAGAGGCAGGCAACCAATTGATGTGTCTCTCTCACCTCGATATTTCTCTCCCTGTCTTTCCCCCTCCCTTCCACTCTCTCTAAAAAAA